TACTTGTTAGTCTATTACTTATGTCTTACCAACAGATAGTTGATTTTATTTACAATGTTACTTTTTGTATGTTTCAGACCTCCATCATTTTGGATAATAAAGTTATCTGAAAATAGTATCGGCCTACTTATCTAGAAGTGAACGGGGCACTAATTAACCAATGGAACGCTTTCACGGCTCAATGAACAAACACAAAAGCTAACACCAGGAAAGCATCCATTTCCCTCTGTAATATGTCCTTGGAAAATTGTCTGTTTATAAATTGAATCTGTGACCTCTCTCAGATTCAGATTCAGATTCTTTATTAGCCAGGAGCCTTACGGCTCATAGGTACAAAAGTAATACATTTACATATAAATATATAATAATATATAATACATGCATGTAGCTTACGCTCACACACACCACCTCACACACCATCCCTCACACACACACCACCTCACACACACACACACACGCTGACATATCGGGAGAGCTGAACACATAACATACATATATATATAGCTGTATACATGATCTTTTTCTTTTTTTTCTTTCTTTTATTCACCAAAAGTCTTAAGACTCATAGGTACAGACTAAACATGATATATTGTACATATATATGTTATAGGAGAGTGACTATAAGCATACAATACAGCATAATACAGAAGCACAAAAGTTATAAATACATGTAGCTGTAATTAATTAATTACGCCGCTTAGTGGCTAGATACAAATATTTACCTAGATTTGACAACTCTTTGACGTTATTTACAGATAATAGTTGGACAAGTTTGTAAACAGAGGGACTCTTATGATAATACTTCTTTATATATTTTAACCTTAAATCAATATAAAAAGGACATACAAAAATGAAATGAAATTCGTCCTCGATGTCTCCCAAATTACATTTGCTACAGTTCCTATTTCTGCGAATGTTATTATTGTGTCCACCCATTTCAATATTCAATTTATGAGACGACGTTCTAAATTTAGTTATCATACATTTGTATTTAGATTCAATAGATTTACGGAGATAAAACTGAATACAACGACTGTCTATAAGGTATTGATATAGTCTACCTATTGAAGAAGCTGCTATCTTTGCCAACATATTTTGCTTAGTAACATCTTTCAATCTCTGTTCAATAATTTTAAAAGAGTTAACAAATGGTAGATTCGATTCAAAAATATAACCAAGACCTAGGGCAGTTAACTCATTCTTAATATTACAAATCCACGGATCATTCTCGTTGACACATTCAACATAACAAGTTTTTGATATCAAATTATCCGATTTCGTCAACTTCAACCAATACTTGAATACTTTTAACTTTCTTGTAACAATTAATGGTAATCTACCCAATTCACAATAAACTAAATCATTGGATGTAGATTTACAGATTTTAAGAACTTTTTTGCAGAAATTCAAAAGGACTCTCTCTACATCAGGAGCTTTGTGAAACCCCCATATTTCTGCACCATAGCTTAAGATGCTGCTGATATAAGTATCAAAGACAGAGCACTGGGTTTCCAGATTCAAACAATGGTTCTTTAAAGAGGCTGATATTGAAAATAAGGCCTTTCTTCCTTGGTCTGCTAAATGCTTTTGGGTTTTATAAAATTTACCATTGTAATTAAAAAAACATTCCCAAAAATTTGAAATCGTCAACAATTTCTACGCTCTCATTATTATATTTCCACACTTCATTATTTCTTATATTTCCCCCGTTTCAAAAAACCATGACTGTCGTTTTATCAACGTTGACTTCCAGATCCCATTTTCTAGAGTAACTTTGTAAAGATTCTAACATGTTTTGTAATGCATCAGGACTATCAGCAAAAAAACCCATATCATCAGCATACATTAGCAAGAAAAGGTTAAGCATCTGTAATTCAATACTTGGACAATTATCATTAATAAAGTTAATTTCAAAATCATTCACATACAAAGAAAACAACACAGGTGACATTATTTTCCCGTGTAAGAGACCGGTATAATTAGGGAAACAATGGCTTAATTGACCCTCAAATTTTACACAGGATTTGACATTTTCATACAAAGATGATACTTTAAAAATTTTCAACGAATACCTTGGTGTATTAATTTACTCCACAGTTTCCCTCTATTAACAAAATCAAATGCTTTTTTAAAATCAATGAAGCAACAGTAAAGTCTCTCTTTTTTATGCAATTTCTTGTTAATTAAAGTTTGTAAAACAAATATGGCGTCAATGGTTGAGCTGCCTTTTCTAAACCCAAACTGAGCATCTGTTATTATACAATTTTCTTTTTCCCCATGTCATAATTCTATTATTCAAGATTTATGTAAATAATTTATCAAAACAGCTTACAAGTGATATACCACGATAATTATTAGTGTCGTTAATACAGCCTTTCTTAAAATCAGGAATGCTTGTGACCATGATTTAGGGAAAAACCCAGATCTAAAAATAGCATTAAACAGCCGTTCCAGGTATGGCACTAGGATATGCTTTCCTAGAATAAAAATTTCGTTTATGATTAAATCTACACTACAGCTTTTGTTTGGCTTTAACAATTTCATTTATTGTGATATTGGAGTCAAGATCTTCATAAACTGACTCTATATTAATATTAGATACATGTTAGTCAACGTCATCAATCTCATTTTGCGCAAGATCTTTAAAGTGTCTATAGAAGTCATCTATTGTGAGTGTATTGATGTCTCTGTTCGACTTCCGTTTTTAAAAATACTATAAAATAACCTGAATGTCTCTGTTTGATCATGTAGGCCGGATTGGGAAGGAGATGGTACCACTGATTATTCGATGTTTACTTAAATTATTGAAACAATGTAGCAAAAATGACATTTGGAAATGACCGCATGTAACACTCTCTTTAATAGTAAATTTACAAATGGCCATTCTTTATCATGCCATTTCTGATTGGACGGATGGGGAGCGGAGGTGGGGGTGGTGGTTACTATGCATTCACTTTGCGATATAAATATCCATGGTATATAATGAATTGTCAATTAAGACCTTCCTTGAGTTACTCAGTGTCTTCCCACATACTTATATAGGTATCCGTATAAATATGTGTACACTTGACTGTATTAAAGTGGGATATGAAATAAATTTCGATTGTACGTAATTATATCCGTAAATTTTCCCCCTGAAAATCTAACAGAGCAGCTCTTATATCTATTATTGTATTATATGGACGTCTCGTCCTACCTCCTTAAAATTCCCGCATTCTGCAGTCTGAACCCAGATAAAACGAAATCAAGAGTGAATGTCTTTGATATAATCATGTCTGTATCGTACACATATCTCGTTAAAAATTATCGTACATATGAGTATCAACGTCAACATAGTACATATACATTGTGCACTTCTTCAATAATTATCCCATGATTCGTCTTGTTTTATTTATTGTAAGTGAATTGGTCAGTATATATTCACACCAATGGTTAAAAATGTCAGTCGTAAACTGTATATATGTCTTTGAAATTGCATTGTATATATACAAAGGGACTGTATAGAGTGATAAGCTTATAGATAAATAAATTAATAAAAAATAATAAAAAGATAACAACTGAGACATAAAAATGAACTTCAGTGATATTCACATACTATGTTTTGGTTATAGCTTTGCCACTAAGTGGAAATGTCGTTTACATCTTATTATTCATTTCCTTAATTACGCATGGAATTCTTTATTCCGGAGATATCAAATGTAATTTGCTCAGAAAACAATATAGCTATTTACTATATATAAACATCAGTCCGCCTTAATAACTCATCGATACACGTATAATGATGGTGTGTTAGTTAACCTGTATAGTAATGGGACTTAAAAAAAATCCGTGAACTGAAATTATGTGCCATTTTCGCCTAAAATGTGTAATAACTAATTTTTAATTAAAGTTTGTCAAAGTTGTATGAATGTGCTGGAAAGTTACTATATTTGATAGCCAGAGGCATTTGGAGATTTTTTGTGATATTGCTTTTATTTCACATTGAAGTTGTCAAAATAATCGTTTTGTTAAAACTTTTTTTAGTAGGACTATAAAGGAGATTCATGTGGAAGATTCAACTAAAAAATGACACAGCGAATTTTCATCTAAAATAAAAAAATAATTATATATCTGTAAGAGAGAAATGTTAAATTTACTAATCAGACGCATACATTTTAGAATTTTTATCTACAAAACGATATATTAATATTTTTCTGAAATGCCGCTATATGATATAGTAAAAAATATCGTTCACCTGCAGCGAGAAATCCGCGATGCGGTATGTAATCAATAGCTGCAGATATATATATATGTTTATGGAACCCTTTACTGAACGCCAATGTAAAAACAAGTAATTATTGATCTCAATTCTTCCGCTAGGATTCGAACCCGGCACATGAGGCTTATTAGTCTGACGTTCAGCCTAACGAGCTAAATAGAAGTTCTCATTCGCCGAGAGTATATACAAATATCTTATTATTATATATTTAAGTGTCGTTATTAAGTGTATATTTTGTTTGGTGATATTTAAGTATCTTTACTATGTGTATATTTTGTTTAATTTGCTATAGAAGAGTTTCACATTAAAGCTTGCACTTGACTAAACTAACATGAATCAGGCACAGTAATCACTTCCCTGTCCTTACTCGAGCTTTATTGATAAAGTAAATAAGAAGCGTTTGAAGATATCAATGTATATTTTGTATTTCTTGTTTAGATGATTATATTATCTTGATACTCAGACCAACGAAACATTGCCACGTGAAAAGGAAAGATAAATATTGGTATGTTTCTTAGAAATGATCGATAGAGTTAAAAACTAAATGATGTACTATGTGACGTTTATAAAGATAACAATGCTTTACACTGATAGAGACGTGCGATCTGTTTCCGTGTAATAGGGACCTGAACTCCGTTGTACGAAAATATGAATCAACCAACAAATGTTAAAAACGGATTTCCTCCCGGGGGTATGGGACTCTGCACACACATAGTTAATATTATACATACGCTCTCATCAAAATGCAAAATTAACTGGATCTAAAAAATGACGCCAGAGATGAAGGCCATCGTGCTGGTCTGCTTCGTCTTGAAGGTAAGAATATTACTACAGCTCTAGTGTAACTGACTTAATACAGGTAGGACTAAATTAGGAATCAGATTGTGATATCACGGAAGTTTGTTATAATCCCTGTTACCGCTACTCTAGCCTCCCCCTCCCCATCTCTCTCAAATTGTTTTACTCAGTGTCTCTCACCATGTTACCCCTACTTTAGCCTCCCCTCCCTCCTCCCCCTCCCCATCTCTCTCAAATTGTTTTACTCAGTGTCTCTCACCATGTTACCCCTACTTTAGCCTCCCCTCCCTCCTCCCCCTCCCCATCTCTCTCAAATTGTTTTACTCAGTGACTCTCATCATGTTACCTCTACTTTAGCCTCCCCCCTCCCCATCTCTCCCAAATTGTTTTACTCAGTGTCTCTCACCATGTTACCCATACTTTAGCCCCCCCTTCCCCACCTCCCCATCTCTCCCAAATTGTTTTACTCAGTGTCTCTCACCATGTTACCCCTACTTTAGCCTCCCCTCCCTCCTCCCCCTCCCCATCTCTCTCAAATTGTTTTACTCAGTGACTCTCACCATGTTACCCCTACTTTAGCCTCCCCTCCCCCCTCCCCATCTCTCTCAAATTGTTTTACTCAGTGTCTCTCACCATGTTACCCCTACTTTAGCCCCTCCTTCCCCCTCCCCCTCCCCATCTCTCTCAAATTGTTTTACTCAGTGACTCTCACCATGTTACCCCTACTTTAGCCTCCCCTCCCCCCTCCCCATCTCTCTCAAATTGTTTTACTCAGTGACTCTCACCATGTTACCCCTACTTTAGCCTCCCTCCCCCCTCCCCATCTCTCTCAAATTGTTTTACTCAGTGTCTCTCACCATGTTACCCCTACTTTAGCCCCTCCTTCCCCCTCCCACTCCCCATCTCTCTCAAATTGTTTTACTCAGTGACTCTCACCATGTTACCCCTACTTTAGCCTCAACTCCCCCTCCCCATCTCTCTCAAATTGTTTTACTCAGTGACTCTCACCATGTTACCCCTACTTTAGCCTCCCCTCCCCCCTCCCCATCTCTCTCGAATTGCTTTACTCAGTGACTCTCACCATGTTACCCCTACTTTAGCCTCCCCTCCCCCCTCCCCATCTCTCTCAAATTGTTTTACTCAGTGTCTCTCACCATGTTACCCCTACTTTAGCCTCCCCTCCCCCCTCCCCATCTCTCTCAAATTGTTTTACTCAGTGTCTCTCACCATGTTACCTCTACACTAGCCTTCCCCTCTCCCCATCTCTCTCGAATTGCTTTACTCAGTGTCCCTCATCATGTTACCCCTACACTAGCCTCCCAACTCCCAATCTCTCTCCAATTGCTTTTCTCAGTGTCTCTCACTTTGTTAACCCTACTCGAGCTTCCCCCTCTCACCCTCCCCATTTTCTCAAATTGCTTTACTCATTGTCTCTCACCATGTTACCCCTACTTTAGCCTCCCCCTCTCCCCCCTCACAGCCTCTCTCAAATTGCTTTACTCAGTGTCTCTCACCATGTTATCCTTACTTTAGCCTCCCCTTCTCCCCCTTCCCATCTCTCTCAAATTGTTTTACTCAGTGTCTCTCACCATGTTATCCTTACTTTAGCCTCCCCTTCTCCCCCTTCCCATCTCTCTCAAATTGTTTTACTCAGTGTCTCTCACCATCTTTTCTTCTCCCAAAAGAAAAAATTACGATGGTTAATTTAATTTCTTGCAGTAATGTTTAATCAAATCAATCCTACTCTCTCCTTCTTCATGATCACCCACTGTTTTCTTTCTCTGCCTGATATCATGTCTTTTGTCTATATGTATCTTCTTAAACTGTCAACATCTATCATTTAAATATATGTTAACGTTTTTTTTTTTACATAAATAGATTGTTTTCTTTTTTCTAGGAACACATACACTTTATTCAGTTATACATAAACTGCAACCGGAAGTACGATATTATTTAATATCCCTAATCTACACCTAACATTCAAACCGATAACCATCTGTCGCTTTATGAAGGAGATATATGATTCATATTGAAATGTTTAAGTTATTCTTGTACTTATGGGTTCAAAGCTGAAGTATCATTATGTCATAGCTATGGCATGACTATCAATAGTTTAGAAATATATATATACCAGTAATTAGAATCTGCATTAGAAATTGACGCTTATAACACAAGAGATAGAGAGAGAGAGAGCCACACAATTTCTTCATTTCTTCATATATTCTGAAAAATAATATAATGATAAAGTCAAGGGTTGCGCTTTAATATCTAATACATACAAACTTTAAGATAGATAATTTTAGAGCTACTTGTTCAGCACTAAAATATCTTAAAAGCAAGTTATACTATAATAGTTATCCTTTCACCAATATCAATACCACACCATCCTTGATAATCCTGGAGTTACGCTAGACTTCAAATTTCTGTCTCTAAAATGATAATTTCGTGTCAATATTCAGTAAAACTCTAAATATCTATAAATCATAATAAATGTGAATATTGACATCAGATTATCATTTCAGAGACAGAAATTTTCTGTCCTGTGTTACGATCACTATCGTTCTCTGCACCCATGGAACATTCCATGCAAAATTGAAGATACAGGCAAATTAAATAATTGGTGTAGAGTGGATTTCAGGAAAAAACAACAACCATGTTTTAAGATTACAAAGGAGCGACACCTAACTTCAAAGCAAGTACAGTATTTTGTTACGCGACCCCTAGATTCGACACAAAGTGTCACACAAGGAACCTTCCTTTTAGCGAAAGTGATCGTCACCCCTTCAGCATCGATAATGTACAACCCAAGTTGTACTAACTTAATGTTGATACCAGAAGCCCCCGATTCAAGTTTTAAACCAAAGATAAATGTGTTTATTCCGTTCTGAACAATATTTAATTCGGTCTACAACTCAATTTAGGTAGGCCTGCCACTTTGGTTTTATTCTAAATCTGTATAATAGGACGAGAATCCAACATTATCATTGGCATGTACAGATATAGAGAGATAATCTGCTTCGCTTTAATCACACATTTGACATCTATAACGGAATATGCCATTAGCTTATGCCTAAAATCTTCACCATTGATAACAAATATAGTACTAGGTCAGGAAATTTGAATTTCACCATAAGGAAAAGTAAAGGCCACAGACATATCTACTAGTATTTTGTTCCTTTCTGTTGCGAAATATTGAAACTCCTTACAAGAGCATATGAAAATATACACACCTGGATAAGTCGAACTCAACGGGGCCCAGATGAAATGTTCGACTTATTCCATGGTTCGACTTAACCATGTTTCTATGAACGAAAGCATTGTACATGCGAGAATGACTATTTTCATCGTTTGTTTTTACCGTATACTTGTCTAATAGCAGTATTCGACTCAACAGGGTTCGAGTCATCAGTGTTTTATTTACTAAGATAGAAAAGAGAAAAATTCGGACCGAACACAGCATTTGACACATCCGATGCATTCGATTCAAGCGGTTTGACACAAGTGAGTTTTACTATATATATACTATACATAAAAAAAAAAAAAAAAAAAAAATTCAAAACCTATTTTAAGGAACACCTTATTCTGCAAGCAAAAACTATTCTGATGACATTTTTGTGTTGTATTTAGCATATACACGTATAATGATATTAGTTACTCTTCGTCACCATAGATGTGTAACATACATGTATTTACCGAGGAATCAGAGTGGTTCTTAAGTCGGATAAAATGTAAGTACTCAAACAGAGCAATATTTACTTCGAAGGTTGGTCTGTTAAAATGTAAAAGGTTTTAGATAGGTCTGATGCAATATTTAGGGTTGTCTTCAAAAATATTTAGGGTGATGTGCTATACTGTTTAGTGTAATGTGTTATACTGTTTAGGGTGATGTGTTATACTGTTAAGGGTGATGTGTTATACTGTTTAGTGTGATGTGCTTTACATTTTAGGGTGATGTGTTATACGGTTTAGTGTGATGTGTTATACTGTTTAGTGTGATGTGCTTTACAGTTTAGGGTGAATTGTTATACTGTTTAGCGTGATGTGTTATACTGTTAAGGGTGGTGTGTTATACTGTTTTGGGTGATGTAATAAACTGTTTAGTTTGATGTGTTATACTGTTTAGTTTGATGTGCTTTACAGTTTAGGGTGATGTGCTATACTGTTTAGTGTGATGTGTTATACTGTTTAGTTTGATGTGCTATACTGTTTAGTGTGATGTGCTATACTGTTTAGTGTGATGTGTTATACTGTTTAGGCCGATGTGTTATACTGTTTAGGCCGATGTGTTATACTGTTTAGTGTGATGTGCTAAACTGTTTAAGGTGATGTGTTATATTGTTTTGGGTGATGTGCTATACTGTTTAGTGTGGTGTGCTATACTGTTTAGTGTGATGTGTTATACTGTTTAAGCCGATGTGTTATACTGTTTAGTGTGATGTGTTATACGGTTTAGTGTGATGTGTTATACTGTTTAGTGTGATGTGCTTTACAGTTTAGGGTGATGTGTTATACTGTTAAGGGGGTGTGTTATACCGTTTAGGGTGAATTATTATACTGTTTAGAGTGATGTGTTATACTGTTTAGCGTGATGTGTTATACTGTTAAGGGTGATGTGTTATACTGTTTTGGGTGATGTAATAAACTGTTTAGTTTGATGTGTTATACTGTTTAGTGTGATGCGTTATACTGTTAAGGGTGATGTGTTATACTGTTTAGTGTGATGTGATTTACAGTTAAGGGTGATGTGCTATACTGTTTAGTGTGATGTGTTATACTGTTAAGGGTGATGTGCTATACTGTTTAGTGTGATGATGTGTTATACTGTTAAGGGTGATATGTTATACTGTTAAGGGTGATATGTTATACTGTTAATGGGGTGTGTTATACCGTTTAGGGTGATGTGTTATACTGTTTAGCGTGATGTGTTATACTGTTTAGCGTGATGTGTTATACTGTTTAGGGTGATGTGTTATACTGTTAAGGGTGATGTGTTATACTGTTTTGGGTGATGTAATAAACTGTTTAGTTTGATGTGTTATACTGTTTAGTTTGATGTGTTATACTGTTTAGTTTGATGTGATATACTGTTTAGTGTGATGTGTTAAACTGTTAAGGGTGATGATGTGTTATACTGTTTAGTGTGATGTGCTAAACTGTTTAAGGTGATGTGTTATATTGTTTTGGGTGATGTGCTATACTGTTTAGTGTGGTGTGCTATACTGTTTAGTGTGATGTGTTATACTGTTTAAGATGTGTTATGTGTTAGTGTGATGTGTTTACGGTTTAGTGTGATGTGTTATACTGTTTAGTGTGATGTGCTTTACAGTTTAGGGTGATGTGTTATACTGTTAAGGGGGTGTGTTATACCGTTTAGGGTGAATTTTTATACTGTTTAGAGTGATGTGTTATACTGTTTAGCGTGATGTGTTATACTGTTAAGGGTGATGTGTTATACTGTTAAGGGTGATGTGCTATACTGTTTAGTGTGATGTGTTATACTGTTTAGTGTGATGTGTTATACTGTTAAGGGTGATGTGCTATACTGTTTAGTGTGATGATGTGTTATACTGTTAAGGGTGATATGTTATACTGTTTAGTGTGATGTGTTATACTGTTTAGTGTGATGTGCTATACTGTTTAGTGTGGTGTGCTATACTGTTTAGTGTGGTGTGTTATACGGTTTAGTGTGATATGTTATACTGTTTAGTGTGATGTGTTATACTGTTTAGTGTGATGTGCTATACTGTTTAGTGTGGTGTGCTATACTGTTTAGTGTGGTGTGTTATACGGTTTAGTGTGATGTGTTATACTGTTTAGTGTGATGTGCTTTACAGTTTAGGGTGAATTGTTATACTGTTTAGTGTGATGTGTTATACTGTTTAGTGTGACGTGTTATACTGTTTAGTGTGATGTGCTTTACATTTTAGGGTGATGTGCTATACTGTTTAGTGTGATGTGTTATACTGTTTAGTGTGATGTGTTATACTGTTTAGGGTGATGTGGGTGATGCGTTATACTGTTAAGGGTGATGTGTTATACTGTTTAGTGTGATGTGCTTTACATTTTAGGGTGATGTGTTATACGGTTTAGTGTGATGTGTTATACTGTTTAGTGTGATGTGCTTTACAGTTTAGGGTGAATTGTTATACTGTTTAGCGTGATGTGTTATACTGTTTTGGGTGATGTGTTATACTGTTTAGTTTGATGTGATATACTGTTTAGTGTGATGTGTTAAACTGTTAAGGGTGATGATGTGTTATACTGTTTAGTGTGATGTGTTATACTGTTTAGGGTGATGCGTTATACTGTTAAGGGTGATGTGTTATACTGTTTAGTGTGATGTGTTATACTGTTTAGTGTGATGTGATTTACAGTTAAGGGTGATGTGCTATACTGTTTAGTGTGATGTGTTATACTGTTAAGGGTGATGTGCTATACTGTTTAGTGTGGTGTGCTATACTGTTTAGTGTGATGTGTTATACTGTTTAGTGTGATGTGCTTTACAGTTTAGGGTGAATTGTTATACTGTTTAGGGTGATGTGTTATACTGTTTAGTGTGACGTGTTATACTGTTTAGTGTGATGTGCTTTACATTTTAGGGTGATGTGCTATACTGTTTATTGTGATGATGTGTTATACTGTTTAGTGTGATGTGTTATACTGTTTAGGGTGATGTGTTATACTGTTTAGTGTGATGTAATTTACAGTTAAGGGTGATGTGCTATACTGTTTAGTGTGATGTGTTATACTGTTTAGTGTGATGTGCTTTACAGTTAAGGGTGATGTGCTATACTGTTTAGTGTGATGTGTTATACTGTTTAGTGTGATGTGTTATACTGTTTAGTGTGATGTGTAATACTGTTAAGGGTGATGCGTTATACTGTTTAGTGTGATGTGCTTTATATTTTAGGGTGATGTGCTATACTGTTTATTGTAATGATGTGTTATACTGTTTAGTGTGATGTGTTATACATTGCTTATGGGTGCTCTGCTTGCTACACTGATGTTTTTATTGAATGTCGTTTCTGTATTTTGATTTGACCCATTAAAATTAGTCATAATTTACAGAAAATTTATCTGTGGTACGTCGTATCCATACCATTTTAAAGTTGTAGATCTTTTATTATGTAATGTAGTACAATACAGATTCGCGGTATTGAAACTCTTGCGGAAATGACCAATTAAAGACTTTCAATATTTTTTTCAATGCCATTGTGCGATTTTACAGGAAGTAATCCATGTTAAATCAGTCGCTACAGTTGTGGCCTCCATATTGACGAGTATCACGGACGAGATACATGTAGTTGCTTTCCAAGACAACCATGCGATGTGTGGTTAAAATAGAGGTTTCTATGGTTTATTTTATAATACATTTGGACATTCGGACCCATACCTGAAATGGAATCTATATAAATAAGTTCCACCTCGCACACCAATGTAAACTGTTTCTGGAATCTTTCCAGAGTTTTTTCCTCATTGGTTAATCAGTCTTTCGATCAGATTTTTTCCGAAACATTTACGGATTTCATCAAACATCATACAGTAATATTAGTTATTTGTTGTTCCGTGTATGATATTTTACAATGTTACTCGCCCTACCTCACCACATTCGTTACAAACTTACAGTTTTCCAAAGTACATTCATCACGCCTAGTCACAATAGCAATAGGCAGAACTCATCGGCGTTTTCATACTTTGTTAAGATTTCAAGACACACGTCTGCTGTTTGTTCCGTGATGAAATGGAAATCCGAACAACAGATAGACGTATGATTCATTAAATGTAACAAGTGTTAACTCGTCTTGTTTGCTTCCATAAGTTCAACAGGGAGTTGCTAAATATGGAAATTACTTCATATTCCAAGAACATTGCTACAATAATTATTCTATTTCGTTATATTATACTTCGAATCTCTATAGAATGATATTTCTTTCCAGATATGTAATGTGTCCTGCCAGAACGGCACAGCTACGGCCAATCCATTACAAGTTAATCATGTCCAGTGTAATTACACGACTCCGATCACACCGGGTAACCAGACAGCTGCAGACTCGGAATGTCTATGTCCTGTCTCGTTCATTGCAATAAAAAATCTAACGTGTGCTGAAGGTAAACATGTTCTGTTTTACTCGTAAACATCAATATAAACATCAGTTATGTAACTCAGTTTAATCCTTTATTAGTTATACCAGATAGTCTTGTACTTTCCTCTACGTCTGGAAACCATTCTCTATCAATGAAAGTTAACAATTTCTTCGAAGGTATATCTGTTCTTCCTCGTGTCCCGTCTATCGTTTCGCAAACTGTTATTTATCAAACTTGGAATTAGACAAACTGCCTTTGCTTAGTCTTATTAAGAAGGTTTGCGGATAATTCCTCTTTCTCCCACAGTTATGATTTATACCTACAGGTAAGTCATGGTGTATAGGTGAAACGTGTAACGATAAGAATAGCTCGTAAGTAGCATACGCACCACTGCAGCAGATAAGGTAGCTTGCGTAAAATATCAGATCTTAAGTAAACGTCTATAATTATGGATGGTAACGTGGGTGCTCTTGGTCCTATACGCAATTTATGAAGGCTTCACAATTACCTCACAACATTCTGACAAGAATGAGTTACAAATTAAAACAAATTAAATAAAATACGTGTTAAAGGTGCAGAGCTCCACCTTTCAAATTATCAAAACAAGCAAAGGATCAAATTTAAACTTTGGTCGATGATTATTAAGGTATATCACCAATAACATGTTGTTCTGGTTCTACTATAATATACAAAGTCATAGAAACAGTCTATAAGTTTCATTTGTTGGCAAGTTTACTTGAAGAAAAATGACAAGGATATAAAAAATTGTTACACGTAATTACAAATACTGATTGATAACAAAAATACTAATTCTTAGTACATGGTAAGTCTTTAAAGTTACCAAGAGAGCTCGTTATATCAAAACTCCATGTATTTTACAACTATAGCTTTCTTTACTCTGAAAATATTGGATGAAAACCAGTTGTTATCATTTGCTAATATCTTATATCGACCACTTAAAAATTTTATTTCTGTATTTGATCCCCTAGTATCAAAATAAATTTTAAATATAAGGATACACACCTCATGCCATAAAATTAGATAATGACAACATATTGGTATAGAGTTTTCATTAACAATGAAACCCAGGGAGGGGGTAGGGGCAAATTATGGATAAAGGAAATATTTATTCGGAGATCAATGCAAACATATGTATTACTTATTTTTAATAATAATAATATTAATAATAGACTTTATTTAAAGATCTAAAATACATACAAAATTATAATAGTGAAAGACATTATAACATATCACACTCAGTATTAATAAGATTATCACATATAGCACAAACACATATTTGTGCTAATTTGATTTGCCAAATAAATGGTTTTAAGCCGTATATACATATATGCTAACATATCAAAAAGTAAAAAGGTCTTTAAGTGCTATTATTTAAAGATAAAAAAAAAAACAAAACAAAAAAACTGGTAACTAAGGCGACATTAAAAGTAGGACCCATATGTAACAACCACTTTATTCAAAACATCACACATTTCATTTCCACGTGAACACGACGCTTATGATTTTATTTCAGAAACTGACTTGAGGCCAATGAATATAAAGTTTGAAGTCAACGAGAAAACAATCAATGTGACATGGACTTACAAAAGCTTTCCGCCGTGGAAATTCAGCTCCGAATTAACAACAAACATATATGGAAACTTGTCCATGTTCGTCATAAACCGGACTGAGTTTACCCTACATTCATCGCAACCCGGACAAAAAGTCAATCTATCAATATCTCCAGTCTTAAGTGGCGGTCTGATAGCAATTTCTGCAGTTGAAGTGTCTACAATATTTAGTAAGTCCTTAGTTATATAGCTACCAGTATTCACGAGCCTATTGTATACAGGCGATTCAAATCACGTCATAAATGATGCTATTGTATAGAAAGATTACGACACATGACTATCAGAGATGCTGGTGACACAGACTCTCTGATTATTGTAATGTTCGTCACAATTATCTCATTGTCGAATCACATATATTTTCTTGTCAGGTCTTTCAATGTGTTTCATACCTGTTAGTGAGGTAATGAGGTCAGTGTGTTCAAAACTCCTTTGTGCGATATTGTGAATATACATTTCTTACTAATTACTGCGATATCAAGGTCAATGTGTACGATATTCGTCAGTGTGATATTGAGGTCGATGTGTACGATATTCGTCAGTGTTATATTGAGGTCGATGTGTTCGTCAGTGTGATATTGAGGTTGATGTGTACGATATTCGTCAGTGTGATATTGAGGTCAATGTGTTCGTCAGTGTAAAATTGAGGTTGATGTGTACGATATTCGTCATTGTGATATTGAGGTCGATGTGTACGATATTCGTCAGTGTGATATTGAGGTCGATGTGTACGATATTCGTCAGTGTGATATTGAGGTCGATGTGTACGATATTCGTCAGTGTTATATTGAGGTCGATGTGTTCGTCAGTGTGATATTGAGGTTGATGTGTACGATATTCGTCAGTGTGATATTGAGGTCAATGTGTTCGTCAGTGTAAAATTGAGGTTGATGTGTACGATATTCGTCATTGTGATATTGAGGTCGATGTGTACGATATTCGTCAGTGTGATATTGAGGTCGATGTGTACGATATTCGTCAGTGTGATATTGAGGTCGATGTGTTCGTCAGTGTAATATTGAGGTCGATGTGTACGATATTCGTCAGTGGGATATTGAGGTCGATGTGTTCGTCAGTGTGATATTGAGGTCGATGTGTACGATATTCGTCAGTGGGATATTGAGGTCGATGTGTACGATATTTGTAAGTGTGATATTGAGGTCAATATTTACGATAATCGTTAGTGTGATAGTGATGTTAATGTTTATGATAACATCAGTGTGATATTGAGGTCGATGTGTACGATATTCGTTAGTGGGATATTGAGGGCAATGTGTACGATATTCGTCAGTGTGATATTGAGGTCGATGTGTTCGTCAGTGTAATATTGAGGTCGATGTGTTCGTCAGTGTGATATTGATGTCGATGTGTGCGATATTCGTCAGTGTGATATTGAGGTCGATATGCAAGATATTCGTCAGTGTGATATTGAGGTCGATGTGTTCGTCAGTGTGATATTGAGGTCGATGTGTGCGATATTCGTCAGTGTGATATTGAGGTCGATATGTAAGATATTCGTCAGTGTGATATTGAGGTCGATGTGTACGATAATGGTCAGCGTGATATTGATGGCAATGTTTACGATAATCGTCAGTATTAATATTGAGGTCGATGTGTTCGTCAGTGTGATATTAAGGTCGATGTGTACGATATTCGTCATTGGGATATTGAGGTCGATATGTACGATATTTGTCAGTGTGATATTGAGGTCAATGTTTACGATAATGGTCAGCGTGATATTGATGTTAATGTTAAACGATAACGTCAGTGTGATATTGAGGTCGATGTGTACGATATTCGTCAGTGTAATATTGAGGTCGATGTGTACGATATTCGTCAGTGTAATATTGAGGGCGATGTGTACGATATTCGTCAGTGTGATATTGAGGTCGATGTGTTCGTCAGTGTAATATTGAGGTCGATGTGTTCGTCAGTGTGATATTGAGTTCGATGTGTGCGATATTCGTCAGTGTGATATTGAGGTCGATATGCAAGATATTCGTCAGTGTGATATTGAGGTCGATGTGTTCGTCAGTGTGATATTGAGGTCGATGTGTAAGATATTCGTCAGTGTGATATTGAGGTCGAAGTGTACGATAATGGTCAACGTGATATTGATGGCAATGTTTACGATAATCGTCAGTATTAATATTGAGGTCGATGTGTTCGTCAGTGTGATATTAAGGTCGATGTGTACGATATTCGTCATTGGGATATTGAGGTCGATATGTACGATATTTGTCAGTGTGATATTGAGGTCAATGTTTACGATAATGGTCAGTGTGATATTGATGTTAATGTTAAACGATAACGTCAGTGTGATATTGAGGTCGATGTGTACGATATTCGTCAGTGTAATATTGAGGTCGATGTGTACGATATTCGTCATTGGGATATTGAGGTCGATATGTACGATATTTGTCAGTGTGATATTGAGGTCAATGTTTACGATAATCGTCAGTGTGATATTGATGTTAATGTTAAATTATAACGTCAGTGTGATATTGAGGTCGATGTGTACGATATTCGTCAGTGTAATATTGAGGTCGATGTGTACGATATTCGTCAGTGTAATATTGAGGTCGATGTGTACGATATTTGTCAGTGTGATATTGAGGTCGATGTGTACGATAATCGTTAGTGTGATATTGAGGTCGATTTGTGTTCATCAGTGTGATATTGATGGCAATGTGATAATCGTCAGTGTGATATTGATGTTAATGTTAAACGATAACGTCAGTGTGATATTGAGGTCGATGTGTACGATATTCGTCATTGGGATATTGAGGTCGATATGTACGATATTTGTCAGTGTGATATTGAGGTCAATGTTTACGATAATCGTCAGTGTGATATTGATGTTAATGTTAAACGATAACGTCAGTGTGATATTGAGGTCGATGTGTACGATATTCGTCAGTGTAATATTGAGGTCGATGTGTACGATATTCGTCATTGGGATATTGAGGTCGATATGTACGATATTTGTCAGTGTGATATTGAGGTCAATGTTTACGATAATCGTCAGTGTGATATTGATGTTAATGTTAAACGATAACGTCAGTGTGATATTGAGGTCGATGTGTACGATATTCGTCAGTGTAATATTGAGGTCGATGTGTACGATATTCGTCAGTGTAATATTGAGGTCGATGTGTACGATATTCGTTAGTGGGATATTTAGGGCGATGTGTACGATATTCGTCAGTGTGATATTGAGGTCGATGTGTTCGTCAGTGTGTTATTGAGGTCAATGTTTACGATAATCGTCATTTTGATTTCGAGGTCAATGTTTACGATAATCGTTAGTGTGATATTGAGGTCAATTTGTACGATATTCGTCAGTGTGATATTGTGGTCGATGTGTACGATATTCGTCAGTGTGATATTGATGTCGATGTGTTCGTCAGTGTGATATTGAGGTCAATGTGTTCGTCAGTGTGATATTGAGGTCAATGTTTACGATAATCGTCAGTGTGATACTGAGGTCGATGTGTACGATATTCGTCAGTGTGATATTGAGGTCAATGTGTTCGATACCTGTTGGTTCGATGATATGGCAGATGCGATTCAAGCATTCAAACTATGTATTACAGAACCAGCAAAGCCCGGTCTCCTGATAAATCCTGTCGGAGGATACGACGCTCCAAATACAACAATACAGTGGATTAAGTCTGTTGGATTAGTCGACAAGTACCTGATATACATGACACTGTTATGTCCAGTCGGAGTACCAGAGAAATTTCGGTCGAAAACTGCTAGCATTTCGGTGTTTGGTTTGGAACACGAACGCGAATACCGCTTGAACATTACAGCTATGCGTGGCGATGTATCAAGCGATACAAGGACTACGGAATTTGCCACTAATTACATTGGTAAAACACGACAAAAAATGTATCTGAAATTTTACTTCAAATTTTACATAATTAAACTGTTCTCTGCTTACTGTGTTAAGTAATATCCGTAACGGATGACGTCATTACTGTACTAGCTCTTATGACTGAAATATACATATATCATGAAGTTCTTGCATTGAGCAACTGAAAAAAAACAAAAACAAAAAAGAATAACAAAAAAAAAAAAAAAAAAAGAAAAACAAACAAAAAACAAAAAAGACAAGAAATCTCAAATGTACATCTGCTATTTCTATTTGCAGTGCCAGATCCTCCTGGAAACGTGACAATACTACAACCAATAGGTAACACGACAGTCTTTCTAACTATTGCTCACGAAAGTGATGTGAAATGTTCGAAACTGATTTATCCATACAAATTACGGTTTAAAAGATACCTTGACCAGAAGTTCACACTACGCAGCGAGGGATATTTCTTCACTAACCAGACAAACCAGAGAGTCGATAACCTTACTCCAGGTATGTTCATGCTATACCAAATACAAATCATGAAACGCACAATTAAATAATGCAATCAGTAGAATATGATATTTTTGGAAATTTGTACAAAATTTTATATAAATGTGAAGGGACAAGTCCGTGAGGTGCCACTCATGTCGTCAGTGGTTTCTTTCAGTAAGATTCAAACGAAAACCAAAATAACACTTCAGTACCTGGTGTAGGCACCTTTTGCACGAATCCCTGCACGGAATCTCCTATGCATTGAATTCACGAGAACATTATTTCGCCTTAAGGAAATGTTGTTCCATTCTTGTGTTAAAGCTGCGATTAACTGGGCGCGGTTAGTTGGACTTTTTTGACGTTTTCCAATACGCCTGTCCAACACAACCACAGATGTACCAGCGGCATGTCCTGAACATTTTCAGCTATATCAAAATCACACCTTTTTGTCGAGACGTTCAGCAGTAGTTTAAAGCTACAATTGTTATGCCGGATATCGACGGAAATTGGAAGATTTATTTTGCCAAAACGGTGAAAAAAGTGTTGGTAGCAAATATCATAAGGACGGTAGGGAAACCAGAAACACTGATTTTGTTTTGCCTGACTGAAAACACGCTAAACCTTGTGATAATATTCTTGATCGTCTAACCCATGGGAGAGCCTCTGGAAAGGAAACCAAGAATCTCACCCCTTGTGTAGGAAATTTCCCTCAAAGTATATTATAATAATCTTCACGTCATCCGAATCTGCATTTTATTTCTCCATTTTATTGATAGGTGCAGAGTACTTGCTGGAAATATTTTCTGAAAATAAAGAGTTCACGAGCACAGAAAGCCTGAATCTTACGTTCAGAACAGCGGAATCGGGTAAGTTGTCATAATAGCTTGTTAGTACTATAATACAACTGTTTTCTGAATTCTTATGTATTATCAGGCATTGGAAAAAAATTCTCTGATTCCAAATTAGAATGTCATTGTTATAAATAAATAAATAAATAAATAAATAAAGGTATTCTGAAGCATCACTTTAATATATCTTGTAAGTCTGATGGCTAATTGTTTTATCCTACCTCAATTAAAGACTCTTTACGTATTTTCTGACACAAGTATTTGTTTTCAGTTCCAGGAAAGGTCCAAAACGTTACCATCACAGATGTTAATCCGACTTCTTTCAGCGTTAGGTTCGACCGTCCTGAACATCCAAATGGGATGTTAACTGCCTACGTCCTGACTTTATCCTCATCGCCGTGCAAAGTCCGAATCATGAGCCTCTCGGCCGGTTTCAATTGTAGCAGTCTGCAGGTGAGACCTAACGATACCAAGTCTAGTCTTTTATTGAAGAATGAATTCTACACAACAGCACTAACCGTTACACAAACCCAATTTTCCTAACGATATTTTACTTAATTGGCAAAGTGGATGTTCTTTCACAATCATTTTAATACTTGTTTTATGTCTTCTGTTTCTTAACTCAGTCAGTCACAGTGAAATCCTTATTTTGTACTTGTTTATAGCTCGTAGTTAGTATCAAATACAACAGAAATTTCTGAGATCGTTACAAGGATATGTTTAAATGAATTAGATATCTCGAAAACAAATTTCTTATGAGAATTAAAGACATTTTATGTGATTTCATAACCAAATTGTTACACAGATATTTATAATTTATAATTATTAGAGATACATCAACTTCGACAAGTGGCACGATAAAGAATATACTGGAAGTTTTTCTAAAAAATTCGATGGATGGAAATTATTAAATTATGGAACTACACTTCTCTCTATCTAGAGTTTTGATATTTTTTTCGATCACTTTGGTTTTTATTTGGTGTTATTTACCTGTGTTTTTTTTACTTTCTTCTAAAACAAATGTACAGAAGCATCCCTGCTTTTTTTTTAAATATAAGTTTCGTAAACGGCTTAATTAAACTTTAATCTATTTTAATTTTATTCAATCTCAATTTGACTTCGCGAAAGGTTTTTTTTTATACTTTGTTTTAGAAATGACTGAATACTTGGCTAAAGTCTCAGTTTGCCATGATATAGATACCGATCACATTTCACGTGTTTCCTCAGATTTTGGTGACTTCATGATAAAAGTGATATAATTGTCATTCTAATGAAATGAAATGCCATACATACAGTTGATTAAGCGTTACTTAATTGTACAGCTGTCAGAACAATTTCTTTTGTTATTGGAGATGATAAATTACGAGGCGTTATTTTATGACGTCCACATTGATCGCATCTCTGGAGGCAAGAAATCACTGGATGTGGGAGTGACATGTTATCATTAACTGGTTACATTTTTCAGTATTTTCAAATTCATTGAATTGTAATCCACAATTGTGTCCCCGTCATGGGTAAGATTGGTAAAAAATGTGTAATCGTCAGAGTTCCACATAGTCTGGCAGCAAACTATCAATGCAAGAATTGTGGAGCGTACAGCTTTTATGAGATATCGTGTGAGAAAACGTAGGGACTCAAAATCCAGAAAAAATGTCATAAATTTGAGCTTTTCCTACTTGAACCATACTTGCAACTAGTATTTTGATCTAAGAGTGTTTTGGATGTGACCAGTATGAACAATGTTCCGGGCTCCTTACTATTCTCCAGTTTTGCTTTAATACTAATTTTTGGTCAGTATTTTGTTCGGACTACTGCTGATATTGAGCAGGATGATTTAAAAAGGGAAACCTTTGACAGAATTTGATAAGTCGATGGGGAAAAACCGAGCTTCATTTTGATTTATACAGTTTTATTTTTTCATCAAATATTGCTTGAAATTGTTGTACAGTCTGTATTTGCATTTTCACCCTAAGCAATATATTACCGAGTTTATATATAGTTTAAAAGGACCAATTACATACCTTACTGTACAGTGATCAACAGTGTTTTAGCATGTTAGTGAAAATATGTTTTTAGTTGTTTTCACGAATTTGATATATTTGCATATCATACCATAAATTAAGCACATGCAAAATAAATTTAATTACTTTTTGTGAAGGGATGGGTTTTTTTTTATATTAACAAATTAATATCAAACTGCCTCTGAAACATTTATGTAGTTTTCGACCTGATGGGGATACATTTTATGTTTCAGAACACAAACATTAAGGCAAAATGCGTTGTTTTTGATTTGCTAACAAAACAAACATTTAATCTTATGGTTTTCTAACCTTAAAGGAAAAGACATTTAGAAATCCGGCCTCGGTCATTCACGTATCCGGTCACAGTCATTCATGTATCCGGTCTCAAACATTCACGTATCCGGTCACAGTCATTCAGGTATCCGGTCTCAGTCATTCACGTATCCGGTCACAGTCATTCATGTATCCGGTCTCAAACATTCACGTATCCGGTCACAGTCATTCAGGTATCCGACCTCAGTCATTAAGGTATCCGGTCAGTGATTCATGTATCCGGTCTCAAACATTCACGTATCCGGCCTCAGTCATTCATGTATCCGGTCTCAAACATTCATGCATCCAGTCTCAGTCATTCACGTATCCGGTCACAGTCATTCAGGTATCCGGTCTCAAACATTAACGAATCCGGTCACAGTCATTCAGGTATCCGACCTCAGTCATTAAGGTATCCGGTCAGTGATTCATGTATCCGGTCTCAAACATTCAGGCATCGGGTCAGTGATTCAGGTATCCGGTCACAGTCATTCAGGTATCCGACCTCCATCATTAAGGTGTCTAGTCACAGACATTCAGGTATCCGGTCCGTTATTCAGGCATCCGGCCTCAGTCATTCAGGTATCCGGCATCAGTCATTTATGTATCCGTTCGTTGACATTCAGGTATCCCGTCCGTCATTCAGGTATCTGGTCTCAGACATTTGTGACTTTAACATGTATTTTTGTTCAAACAGGAACGACAAAATGGAACGAAAATGGATTGTGAATGTATAGAGGTGGTCTATACCCCTTTCCTACAGTTGGAGTTTAATTATCTGCTGTCATACACCACTTACATACTGACAGTTGAGGCACATAACTCTGCTGGCGCCGGTGTTGCAGTAACTGGAAACGTCACAACAGCCATTGGAGGTATACCATTAAAAACAAAACTATCTAACTTTGATCATTTTCCAAAAAATCTTTAACGTATATCAAGAACAAGAAAGCAAGGGAGAAATGACAATAAGAAACGTCCGTCCGGCAGAATTCTAGCAAAATTGTAGAAAGGCGAACGTTAGACTTCGGAATTCTGATGTCAAAGGTTTCGAGTTTCATAAAATCTCATTGAAAATGAAAACGAATTAAAGATTCCTTTTGATAACAGGTTTGCTATCAAAATGCGGATGAAAAAATTCAAACAGATACAGCCATTCTGTGTGCCCTTTTTAAATTTCTTACGTAAAGTCATTGTCGGCAATATGCCATTACAATCGAAATCTGACTGGTACAGCCAAGGAAAATCACTCAAGGTTGTATACCATAGTGACAAAAATAAAACATGAGCGAACAAACTGGAATCAGACGGATTATGTGATATAATCGAATAATAATAATTGTAGTCGAGGAAAAAAAAGTCCATTAATATTAAACACATGTATATCTTTACTGACATAATCAATATGGAATGACACACATTTCAGCGCCTCACACTCCCGGAGACGTTGAAATACGTAGCGTCAAATCGCACGAAGCGACTGTATATTGGACGTACGGTTATCGAACTGGACCAACAGACTTCAGGTTGGAGATAACAGACGAAGTGTTCCAATTACCGAAGAAGACCCAAAAGTGCCCATATGTAACGTTGAACGACCCAAGTATGCATACATGTAGCTCATAATTGAAAATATACGTTATAACACAAAATGCTAACCTTATATAATCCCAAAATTTGTTTATCTTTGTGATGCAGTCATGTTGCTAATCTTGTTTCTCATCATATACTTAAATGGTTATTACATGATAATTTATTAACGCAATATCTGTATTTTGTGAAAGGTTAGATGATTTTAAGCTAGTTGATGATGATACTGTCTAAATGTTAAGTCAGTGACATTTCATTGTTACTCTATTTTTTTACACCTTCAGTTTGAGAGTACGATTTTCTATCTTGGAAACATTGCTATGCTTTTCATTTTTCAGGTTGTACTGCTGTTGACTTAAAGGCATACTGGAAATACAGCGTTCTCGTTATTGCCAACACAACAACGACTAACTTCAATTCGTCCAAATCCAAGACATTTATTACTAGTTTCGCAAGTATGTTTGTATCTTAAATTCTTAAAAATATTGCAATTTCCATTAAAAATCTCGTATGAAACAAACAGAAATATATATTGAGCAGCAAAATGGATAGAAAATGCAGGTATATAAGTAATAAGTCTTGCATTAAACAACTGTGTTTAAAGTCGGTATGAATCACTTCGCATCTTAGGGATATACCATATATCTGAATACTCTATGAAACAAACATTTTCATTTCCCTTTAAAAATCAAAACAAGTTATCACTCCTTGAAAAAGACGTTATTTTGTTCGAGATGTGATTTCTGTGATGGTATCCAGAAAAGGAGGGTACTTTTAGAGGTTTGGTTAATGATTAATTTTCTGAATATTAAATACAACGGTTTTTACCTCCCTTCCCCCGCTCCAACATCCTGGCAATGATTAGTATATAATGTAATAAATAATTGAATGAATTAAAAGATACCATCCATAAAACTAAATGGAAATAAGTTCAATTTTGCAAAAAAGACTTATTGATATTGTTCGATAACCCCACTCATATGATCTTACCTTATGCTTTGCATCAAAGTAATGTATTTAACTTGATGATTGTTATTTAGTTCCTGGAAAGGTTAGGGGGCTTGGCGAAGAAAAGGAGGCTGGAGATGACTGCACAGAGGACATATATGGTGTAAAATGGACAGAACCAGAAATGAAGAACCGAAACGGAATAATAGCAAAATATAAAATTGTATCATCTCTCGGAAGACATCGCAATGTATATAAAACGACTTCTGGCTTAGATGTTGCTTTTTCTAGTGTTCTGCGTCCTTCAAATGTCCATCCATCTTTCCGTTGTTCGTTTGTCATATTGGAAAATACAAAATCGCCGACAGTCTCTGTTGATACCTTTTAGATTTTGTGACAAATCAGAAAACAAATAGCTGAGTCGTGATTTTAGATTTTGACAATGAAAATTATTGCCATTAGTAGTGTGAGGAAAAAAGGCAAAAAAAAAAAAAAAAAAAAACAATCATGGGAAGCATTGGGTTGTAGGGTTCTCTTGTTCACTTGGTACCGTAGATTGATTTACTTGTCAAAAACAACACATAAAGACTTATTACAGACCATGCAATGATCAGCGTACAGATTCTTCTGGTATCTCCTGTCAAACTTTTACTTCTCATTAGGATTAAAGATTACCGTTTTTACAGAATATTACATAATGCATTAGTTGAAATTTTAAAACTAATTGCCTTATGCAAATATGTCTCGTCAAGAGAGTAAGTGCAGTAAAAGATCACGGGATAGCATTCGGCTTTCACGAAAATGGTTATTATTCAGATCACCAACTGGGCATAGACAAAATGTGATTGATAGAATATATAAAATCACACACATATATAAGAAAAGATATGTCAATCCATGGCGGAGGTCTATGAAGTTGGTAAAGCCAATGTTTAACAAATCATTGAACCTAGCAACTAGAGGGTTGATCTCCCCTTACTCACAAGGGAATGAAATGTTGTGTTTCTTACATGTGCCCTACCATGCTAGGTTCATTATATATGTATTGCCGTTATTCCAATGGTTGATATAATTGACACAATATCTTTGTAATACAATGTGAATACCAGTCACATTGTTATCAGTATGTGTGTGAGAGCGAGTTATGTTTGTCGAAGGCTGTAACAAAAACACATGGAAGGAAGAAATATTACCCGAGACTAAAATCTATCCAAAGATTATCAGAGTTTATATCTCAAACGTAATTTTGTCAAGATTAATTTCTTAAGTGATTTGAATGAACTTTTAAGCAAAAATTGGATACATCTATCCAGGTTTACAGATCATTTGTTCGACACCGAAGGTCATCCGAAAGTTTCAAAATATTCACCATCTAGAGTGATGGCTATTAGTCGAATAATGTTGTTTTTTCTTGGTATCACGATTTCATCAACTGAGAGACAATCTCACAACACAGTGTTTCGAAAACTGCTGTTTTATGACAATGATGGGAAGTAGGCATACTGATCTCGTTAGTAAGCAATCTATTTCCTAATGCCATGTAAAGTTAGACGTGTTTGATGCCAGTTACTATACCTGTAGGTTCCGTTGTTGTTTTCTGTGTTCTTAATAGCAACATGACATCAATTACTTAGAGCTACCAAAATTGGGTGTTGTCGATGAAGCAAAAGATGTTTATCTTTCCAGAACACCTCGTCTTTTTCTCCTTGTACTTGAGTCTTCGTTTAAATCTGTATTTGTTCATATTTACCATTGCTTCATCGATTTTTAGTTTGATTAGAGATTTTGTTGACATGTCAGCATTTTCTTTGATGGTTTTGTAAAAAAAATAAACGTTTATCGAGACGATTTTGCATAGAGTTTTACTAATAACGGTTAAATTAGTTATTATCATTTTCCTCAGATGTATGAGCGCGATGATAGTGCTGAAGATCGTATATACAAGAATACGAGCAAAACGTTTGTTGCCCTGTTCGAAAAGGCAGGAAACAAGGCTAAGAAGTTCAATGTGACTGTAAGTATATGCCAACATGTATATGCTATGGTATCTAGTAGTAAGGATTTATTGAAACCTTATTTGATTGTGTATAGTAAGCTTTTCCGATGTTTTTGTGATGAGAAATACGCTTTTATTTAGTCATATCGGACTAATCGGATTTGTCAGTCAAGAAAAGAGCATAAAAATTGCAGAATACATAGACTTTCTTAATGTGTTTTGCCCTTTTTTTTTAAAAGTTTTGATAAAGAAAACAGGTTCGCCATTTTGCAAAAGACAGTACTAATTTATGTTACCACTCTATTTATTTGATACAGGTGGTGGCTGTCATAGACAGAAAACACAAATCAGAGCCGACGATTGTCCAAATACACATACCACCATGCTCTCGTAAGTAAGCTTCAAACTTTTATTTGATTTCTAAATCATTGTCATATTATCTAAATCGAACCAGTACAATACAGAGCATAGTAATGGTGTTAAGATAATAAGAAAATATCTAAATAGATTGGTTGTTTGATGAATTAGTTTTATATATTAATTGATGGAAGAAAAAACGGTTGAGATGTAATTATTTTTAAAACCTAAGAGGTCTGTGCGATTGCATTATGTCCAGCATCGTACGTTGTCCCCGTCCGACCGTAAATGATTATCACTTCTATTTTTTCTTGAAAACCCTTAAAGCAATTTCAATAGAATTTTGCGAGGACTTTACATGGACAAAGTGAACAAAAGTTAAGAATAATCTCTTCACCTCCAGGACCCTAAAGGTCGGGGCCAAAAGTGATCAAAAGAGCTATAATTTCTTCTCAACACCGGAAATGTATGAAATGGTATTCCTTGACGGAAAGGTTTAAAGGTCCTTTAACAATAGTTTTCGATATTCTTAGTTTAAAAAATCCCTACATTTTTAAGTGTGATTTGTTTTCATTAAAATATTGTTGAAATTCGTATGATGGAATTGCAGTTGATGCCGAACACAGTTGACTTTTTGATTACATGGTAGCTATAAAAACTTGTAAACAAGATGATAAGTATTTCACAAGAAACGACAGTATCCATAGAACTCTGATGACCGTTAAGGCCCCCATGACTCCTGTTATATGATAAACGGGATGTCATATGTGTTTATTGCAGCTGGACTATCGAGCAATGAAGTCGCTGGAGTGATTGTCCTGGTGTTGATATGTGTCATCGCTATCATTATACTCCTGGTAATGCTGTACAGATGGAAAATGTTGTAAGTTCCAAAAATATGTTTTTTGTACATACGAATCAGCAAAGATAATGAAAAAGAGTAGGGCAACTACGTTTGAGCTATCATTATCAGTTTATTATTTGCAAAGGTTTATGAATGAATCATCCTCCGATACCGTTTCCCAATCATAACTGTATGCATATCTTTGAAAACCTCGAAAATCATTCCTAGTTATAGGTTAACTTGTTTTAATCATAAAAATAGCATGCATGATACATATTAAAAACATGGCGGTGATGCCATCTGTTGTCCATGAATTATATTCGAGAGAAATCTACTTGTAACACCTACTACTGTGGAATAGTTTGTAACTTTTCCACATGTAAAAGAACCATAGCATAACACGAGATCTTTTTTACTGTTTTACTTCACATTTTCCAGTTTTAGGTCTGAAAAAATGTAAATGAAAAAATTCCAAACTTATGCAAGCATTCTATCTTATAGGTAATTATTTACGACTGAATAACATAGTTGTATGAATTCGATGTAACATATCATTTCAGTTATTAAGTAGACAAATAATATGACATATGTCGCAAGTTATTAAATTTGGGAGGGGAGAGGATGGAAAATGATAAAGAATTATATATATTGGCCTTAGGCTCAAGTACTGCTCATATATCCTTCTTAGTTGACATCTGTATGGTTGTCATGGATTTTCCTAAAAACGGATTTGTTTGAGGTTTATTTATTTTACGCTGATTGAGACCCCCTAGATGAGTTTTGGATACACACTCCGTGTTTGGAATGTAACTTTATACAGTTACATCTTAGAGTTAAGGTCAACTATCAAGCCCGGTGTTTCTGTCCTGCTCTGAGGCCAAAAATAAAACCGAAGTAAACAGTAGAGTAATTCTAAGAGACCACAAATTAGTTTCGCCTTGAAAGAAAATAACAGAAGATTGAAGTTTCTGTATTCCTTTTTCCGGTTCGGCTAGAATTTTCATCTTGGTATCCAAAAGTCTGCCGATCTCTTGAAAGTTCAAATTTGAAAACCTTTAGATCTGTATACATTACTGTATATAATGCATTGTTTTACTAATCGATATTTGAACATTGTAACACAACTGACAAAGGAAGATAATTTTTGACTCGTGCCCTGTTCAGGTTTCGGACTCACGTTCCATGGTACCAAATCGCTTAGAAATTTTACCCCACATGAAATGAAGAACGCTACAGGATGTATAACACTGGTGATATATGCGAAAATACAATATATGTCGGAAAAGATATCCGTTTCTGATTACTAATATTGCAAACAAACTAACAAAAAATGCAGAAGTGATTTCAGTACATCTGCAGATTCTTACAGTGACAAAATTCATGAAAAGTTATAAACGTTATTTACGACATCACAATATCATTGTGACTTTTTGTTTACGAGACTTCAAGTATATGAAGACGTGGATACTAAAAGCACTTACTCTTAACAAATACTACACTTTTTGTTGATATACATTTTTGAAGTATTATTATTCTTTATTGCAGCCCATTTAACAACTCTGGTTCTGCTCAACTGACAAGAGCTTCAACGGGTCCTGGTGTTCATATCAGTCGACATCGGTTGGTACTATTGTTAATTTCAAGTCTAGGCCTTAACTCTTGTGGGAAAATCTCCACTATTATTCCCGAGGTGTCATGCTATTTTATCGGTACACACATGATCTTCAGAGAAAAATCGGTGTATTTTTATAGAAATCTTTGATTAAATCATTGAAATCCCACTCTAATTCACAACTAACGCTAAATGTGTTTTAAACAATTAACATAACTATGAAACCGATATATTTGTAAACACTCCATCGACTTTTTGCTCTTTATTACTTCATGCAAAGTATAATGGTTTTCCTGAGCTATTGAAACTGAGGGATACTGCCACACTGCTCGTGAAAAATAGTATCATATGGGAAAGTGCCGAAACCCTAATGAAGTTGTCCGATTTCGGAGGCTGATTCTAGATTAGGCGTGGCCAATGTGACCCTTGAAATTAGTCATAATAGCAAAACACAAATGTATAATGTTGATGTATTGATTTTCCATTCCATTTCATAGACCGTTTGTTTTGGGAAGAATAAAACAGTTGGTTGACCGAATGAAGAAAGACAGTGGCCGATTGTGTCATCTGGAATGGGACGTACGTTTGATTTTAGTAATGTCTTTGTTTGTAAAACAAAGTTAATGAAAGCACCGTTTTGAGTTCAACTTTAAATATTTCGAAGTTTTTCTTTTTCTTGGTTTTTGAGATTATCTTTTAAAAGAGAAATGGTATTATCATATGGTAAGGAAATGAACTTAGAAGAACTGTCAAGGCACTTGCGTTTACATTTTACCTTTTTCTAAACGTAAGTCATGATTATTAAAATACTTATTTTCCTAACTAGGGCCTAACCCTGGGGTTCTAAAGCTATACATACATAAGCAGCAACCTTTCCAGATTGGCTTTTTTAAGTACAGCCAAATATAATGTACCAAAACATATGATATTCATGACTTTTATGTTTCCATATTTAATATTTATTCTACATGTATATTTTTTACAATGAAAACGAATCTTAGCATAATAACACTCAACTTTAAATAGTATAAAGTTACATACATATACATTTTCTCTATTGCAGGACCTGAATTCACTTAGTCCACATCATCCAACTGAAGTAGCACTACTTGCGGCAAATGCTCGAAAGAATCGCTACAATAACATACTTCCTTGTGAGTTATTTAAGCTAAAATGACATACTTACATGTGAGTTATTTAAGCTATAATGACATACTTACATGTGAGTTATTTAAGCTAAAATGACATACTTACATGTGAGTTATTTAAGCTACCCAAACCTTAATTCGAATTAGACCTCATGTATATTTTAAACACTACCATGACTATGAATCTAATATCTACAATGCTATATATGAACTGTCACTAATTATCTGCAATGCTTCTGTTTCAATATTTCGTTACAATAGAAAGACATTAATTTATCTTTCTGACGGACATAGAAGAGATAACGTTTCGTTTTCAAATTTCATACCATACATGTTCGAAATTTGATGCATATTTTTAAATATTGTTGTTTATGCTGTGAAATTATCTCTTTCCATAAATTATCACTGAGAGAAGTGATGATGCCGCCAATTTCTACAACGAAACGTTGCTTATTTCGTTTGCAGTTGATCGGTCGAGAGTAAAATTGTGCAGCGGTGGAGATGATTATATCAATGCAAACTATATCCCAGTAAGTGTTTCCACTGTTGTTGAAGATAACTTAGAAACACGTTATGTAGGATGAAAATCAAGAGAAATCAACCAATCAGTATCGTGTGACCAGATATTGTGTTTTAAGGAATGTGACACAATGCTATGAACAGATTTCTAGCAGCAGATCAACATTACGTGACTATATTATGGCGCATATCTATTAACTCAAAAATGTGTACAAATGTATATAAGTGAAATCTTATGGTGACTGAATATGTCTGCTACAGAAACAATAGATACGTATGTAATTACACTGATTAAGCTTATAATCAAATCGTCCTGAAAACGAAGGGATCATCAAATATATTTTTCATAGTGGCAGGATGTTAATATCATAGTTGTTTAAAGAGTATTCGATTTGACTAATACTTTAACTGATTTAACAGTCAATAGCCTATTCCATTGAATAGACTCATAAAAACATATAAACCAGGTGTGCTATATAGTACACAACGTTATTTAAGCGTAAAAAATGGCAATGTGTTTTAATGTTTCAATTGGTTCAATAGTTGTAATATCACTCGAACAATTAGACACACGTATATCAGGTTATATCACTTTTAACAGGGTTACAAGTTCGAGAGAGAATACATAGCTTGCCAAGGACCTCTTCCAAATACTACAGTGGATTTTTGGCAAATGGTTTGGGAACAAGATGTACCTATAATTGTGATGCTTACCAGATGCAATGAAGGCGATGTTATCGTAAGTAAAACCCAACTGTTTGTTATCAACATGCGACATTTCTAGTACAGGAATGGTATATTGATTTTTGCCCCATTTTGACAGACACATATAAATGAAATCACAATTTACAATTCTATAAGTATGTAACGCTACGTGGACATATACTGTTGCTAGTGACGAGGAAATCGGTGTCCGACAGACGGTACATATATGATGCATATGCATATTTATTGTGATTTTTTCAATTCTAGCAAGATTAAATAGAAATCGATAATTTATAATTTGTATTCATAACACTGTTTTACAAGTTAAAGTTGCAATATCACTTCTTTTATCGCCATTATAGATCAGTCGTTAACTTTAATCCTTCAGAAATGTGAACAGTATTGGCCAGAGGATCTACATGACTCAGTGACATATGGAAAAGTTGAGGTAACACGAACAGTGTCAGAGGGCAACAACGAGTACGTCTACTCCGAGTTTAACCTCACATCGGTGAGTTTGGACATCATGTTTACTTGTGATCGTTAATTCAAATCCTAATCATAAAGCAGTTTTCATGCATCAACTATTCTGATACCAATTAAATAATATACAAGATAATGTCGCAGTTTGTTGGTATACTCTTGATTGTTTTTATCACTCTTTGTTTTCAGGCTGATCACGAGAAATCGGTCAAGCATTTTCATTTCCTAGAATGGCCTGATTTTGGTGCTGAATTGGATTTCAACGTGTTCCTGGAATTTCTTTTCAGGGTTAAGAGTGAAATTCACGATGACCTTGGAGGCCCCATCATAGTACACTGCAGGTAGTAAACATTTGTAACATTAATATCTAATCATTATACAATATAACCAAGAGCAATAACAACGCCACCATTACAAGCCATGACATGACATGACATGACACCCATTTATTCTATTCGAATGGCCAATAATGATCTGCTTTGATTTCTATGCTTCTGCTTCAGTGCTGGAGTTGGAAGGACAGGAACATATCTCGTACTTGATTACCTCACAGAATTTCTCAAGACCCACAATCTTTCACAGGAGTTTGATATATTTCAATGCGTTCTAAACATAAGACAGCACAGAACTAAGATGGTGCAGGCAAGGGTATGAAAAAACGTCTTTTCTCTTTCTTAGAATTATTTCAAATTTAATATCAAGCAATCTTCAGTATGATTGAATACATGTACATTCATCGTGGTAGATCTAGATATGATTATTCACTAGTGCATAACATTGTCATGATTTAATTTTATCAAGGAGCAGTACCTGTTCATTCACGAGTGTCTTCAGGAGCTGGTGAGACGTCAGATGACGCTAGAAAACCTAAACGGTGATGGACTTCAGATGCCGAGCGAACAGGAATATAGTGATCAACTCTTTGGTGCGTCTAACGGCTCGATTGATTCGTGTCGTAAGTCATTTCATCAGCGATACAGCAGTTTATGTTCATACTTCGATCCAAGCCTTTATTTAGGACCCAATTATTGCATTACAGATGTCCAGAATGTCATTGTAGAAGTTACAACCATTATACATTGTTATCACTTGATAGAAACCCTGGTAATTGGGATGGAGTAAAACCGTCCGCATTTGGGCGAAAGTCACACCAACGTAATTACATATCTCGAGCCCCTGAGAATATTTTGATATACCACGATTCGGTTCAGTTAAATTATGCAATATTGTTTAATGCATTTTAGTACAGTTTTGTTTGTTTATTCTAGATCCTGAAAACAAGCTTATGATAGAGGAAGGCGACTGCAAAGATGGCGACAACGGCAACGTTGTGGCATACGACAACCCAAGCATGACGACAGAATTGTGATAACGTTGAATCATACTCTCTTATTCTGTGTGTATTCATATCAGAGTACGAACTGTATTCATATCATTAATACGCATGTTAATACACATGGATTTAACGTGTTATACATAGTAAATTTGCCAACACCTCATTTATTTGTAAGGATGTGGTCATGCATCGGAAAGCTGATCTCAAGCTGGTGCAACGCCAAATGTAATAGTGTAATACTGTTAACATCACCTTATCGATCAAAAATTCAAACTTTCAGACAATTTTTTATAAATTCGCATGTGAAATGAAAAGCAAATTTAAGATAAAGTTGTGGTAACGCCCATCATACCAAAACCCTCGTGCGCACATTAAGCTTACATTGTTCGCACATCGTCCACACACATGCAATATACAGTATCTAGCGCACAACTGTGCGATAGGATCGCACATTTTGCGCAGTATGGCAAAATTTGTTGGCTTATATTACAGACGGAAAACTCGTGTACATATTACTAAAAATATACCACAGGCACATTTAATATTGATCGTAGATTATTAGTCGTTTTTGATTTGACATTTTTTCGAAAAAAAAAATAACAAAAAACACTTAACTCGTTAAAGTTTATAGCATACAATTTCACCCCTCAGAGAGTGTCGAGTGCTGTGCCTCGGGCAATAAAAATGCCTGTATACAGCTGTATACGTGACAGATCCATATCGGCTAGGCCTCCCGTGTAACATTTTAAATTTACTTGCAAAAGGATAGAAAATAAAAGCGATGCAGAGCGAATGAAAATGCAATTTCCTTTCTGACGGTTTGAGATGCGAGATGTTTCATTGTCGAGACGAAAAGAGATGTCCATTTAATGATTGCATATATTATGAGTGTACACTGAGTGGTTAAATGGGTCACTTTGTAAATTCTTGAACTCTTAATTACGAGTGTATATAATTATTCAGTCTGTATTTGATAGATTCACATGTGCCTAGTCTATAGATGTATGACTTAATTCGGAAGTACAATCAGTACTCTTATATTTATAGAAATTGAATTAACCCTATCCAACACTTAATTGTATTATCAGAAGTCATTTCCAAAATTACATTTACTACGACAGAATCACACACTATGCGAACAGTTGTGTGATAGCTTCATATTTCGTCCAGTTTTCCCATCGTGTGCACACCGTGCAGACATAGTGCGCTCCCCAAGACGAACTTTTATCAAATAAGTCAGAAAAGATACATTGACATATTTCAAAGTTAATATTTAGAGGATTAATTCAAACCGACACCATTGTCTTTGCCCATTTTATTATGACATTTTAGTCGATTATGACCGGCGCACCCAATGAAAAATCTACCAGGTTTTATTACACTAGTATCATAAACAAATATATTTCTTGAGCGATTGCACTAGATATCAGACCGAATAAGTGATAAATGTATATATATATATGATGTCAATTGAAACAGAAATATTTTTTCATGTCTTTGTTTGTAGATATATTAAGCATGAACATGTAATTCATGTAGGTCATTACATGCATTTTATAGTTATAATAATAACATTGTTATGTTCCGTTTCCTTAAATATTCAATTACTTCATATATTTTCATTTTGTACATGTAATATCACTTACCATTTCGTAAATCTTATAAATATTTGATCACTTCATTTATTGTTATTATCGTGATAATTTGAGATATGAGTAGAACAGTTTCGATGTTTTTGAAGCATTTTATGTACTGGAAACCAAACTAGATGAAATTTTAGAGGTTGATATGTTGTGATGTGGACATGTCAAGGTCAAGATCAGGGTCGCTATTAACAAAATATAGTTGGGAACATATTGGCAAAAATAATATAATGCACTTAAAACGGTCAAAATTCTGCATTATCAGAGAGTGATACATTATGATATGTTTATGGATTTGAATAGTACATAAGATCAAGATCGATTTTCACTTTTACTGAAATAAAGCATACAATGCCTTTATAGAAGGCTATACTCAAGTTTCATTACGGCAGTGTCCATGATGACTTATCAGAATTCGGATCTCACACCAATAGCGCAACATACTGTCAGCTTATATTCATTACATTTGTTTGCAATGGTGGTAGCGCAAAGTTGAAAACCGGAGTACCACTAACAAGCGAATGTGGTATGGTATCGCCAGACAATCACCCATTTGTATCCTTATTTCTGTAAGGTTTTGGATTTATATAGTGTCTATACATATGATATATCTATAATCCAAAACGTCATTTCATTTCACCAATACGCCTACCAACTACAATGTTTTGATAAGATTATGCATTTTTATGTGACCCTTGATATATCAACTAGTTTAGTCACCAATCAGAGAAATGCACTTGACATCTTCTGTCATGGATTATAAAGAAATTATCACATGTATCATTCTAGATCTACGAAGAACATCACCCTCAGGCAAAGGTTGTTTTGCTTCGTTCAAGATAGCTAGAACATTTTAATATTCAGGATAGTATCATATTAAGCTTTTTTGCAGATGATCATACTGTATAGTGTACATATTTGCATATGTTGTTGACGCATTTCATGTTTTGTATCACGTAATTATATTAAGATTATAAAACATGTTACCATTCATATTATTTAGGAAACATGAACTTACTAAATAGCAGATTTACTATATGTTCCATTAAAGATAATATATATATATTTGTGTATTCAAAATAGTTATTTCAGAACATTTTATGCATTTCCTTGACTTGCTTCACTTAATAATAAATCTGAAACCATATTTCCTCCTTGGGGCATCAAATTATCGTGATAACGTTCTAAATCATTAAATATATTTTCAGAAGTATAATTTTGGATTCAGCAATCAGTCGGTTCTTTTTTTGGCCATATGTAATTTTCGTAAAAACAAATTACTTGGACTGTGTATATGTACCCATGTCAAATTTTCGAAGCAATCTGCATCCTTCATTATGACACAAGTACTTTATAAATTACATGTACATATGTAAGTAACATGTGGTATAACATGTATTTTTATACAACAAGTTAAATGTTACATGCAAAGATAATTTGGGAGTTAAATAACACCTTCTATTGTGGTAGAAATATATATGCATGTATCTAAATATTCAACATGTTGTCCTAATACCGGTTCTATAAATGTACATAGCAGCCCATTAAAGGTTCAACCCCAAAGACACTTCAAGTTTTATCTGTGATTTCAAAGTATGGCCATGTTACATAGTTAGATTTGTATGTTATAGATATAACAAAAATTCAAATCGTATGTTAATGTTAAGATTTATTGTAACATGAAATATTTAAAAGACAGACAAAGTGCAGTAGAAAGCCATATAACAGGTGGACGTTTTCACTCGGGATTTCTTTGACACAGTTACAATAATGGGGTTGGTGGTGGGAGGGTATTTTCTTGAAAATAATGCACATTACAAATTGATTATAACATATAAATACAATCAACAGAATAACTTAATGATGACATGAAACTAATTTACATGGAATTTTAATAAGTATAAATATTTGCAGAACTCAAAAACGTTATCATATAACTCTCAAAACCATCACATGGGTCTGACAAAAACGACGTTTGTGTGTTCAAGTTATCGCATAAATGCTACATATTTGGCCAATTCGAATATGTCTGCAAAACATTGTCATATTGTGGATATTGTCACAAAATATTTTTTATAACATATGCATCTATCTAAGATATTGAGATACTGAGCACAGTTGGGTTAAATATCGATTTATTTCCTGTCCACTAAACGAACAGATACGATCATTGTTTTTTTTTCAATAAAATTCTTCTCGGCAGACATATTAGACGGTGTTTTCTTATGTTTGTGTTTTAATTAAGTTTGCTGATAATATAATCATATAGAGCATAGATATTACTGATACTGAATACAAATAGAGACTGATTTTAATGTATGGAAAAGCAGGACGGGTAAAATATAGTAATTGCTTTCGTTTTACACAATAATTTAGTTAGAAGAACGGAAAATTAATCTCATGTATTCCCGATCTGGCAATGATCCTCTTCTTTTGTTGGGGAAGGTTGTCTCACCTCAAATATTCCTTCATCCCCTATATTGACACGGACAGCGCCCATCGCAACCAACACGCACACCCCTGAAGTACATGAAAAATAACATTAAGAAAACGTGCGAAAAAACAGCCGGCATAAAAATTCACACGATAGTCTAAATAAAAATGCAAAACTTTTTTTCTCATAGAAAAGGATGCGTAACGTTAAGAATGAGCAGTGCATTGAAGATAAATAATAAGATATTTCCAGTACAGACGGTTTGAAAAAAAATCAAAGCATGAAACGTACTACATATATCTCGATACAACCATGGCTAGCAATGTCCATATACCGAACGAATAATTATTGGTAGGCCTATGCAATTCAATGTAAAAAAAGAATATTTAACTAAATTAATTGTAAACGTTTTTTATGACACACTATATTATTGAGAATTATTGATCGTAACGTAAAAAATCAAAATCCTACAGAAAACAATATAGAACATGAAAAACACTGTATCATATCTGCAACAATTCGTCAGTTGCATAAGACTACAGTATACGGTTTGAATATCGAACATTATACATTGATATATTCTACCTTTTCATATATCCTGATATTTTACTATGTGACATCTTAAACCGTGATGTAACAACTTCGAATGACTTTCAAACTGATTTACGATAATTATATTGCTGGAAACATGAGAGTCATTAGATAACCCATTTGTATCGAGCGCTGCACAAATTAGGGAATGTTTTCCCATTAACTCCACAAAGTGGCTTTAGGATAAAGTGACACATGCATTGAGTATCAAATGGACATCTGCCTCGACAACTGAAGCCTGTTTTCCTGAAATTGCAAACACCAACGAACCATAGTTTCAATTTCTGAGTGCAGCAGATATTGCTCTTTTATAAAACAAAAAATGAGATTACTGAGAATGACTGCTACTGTTGTACTTAGTTCCCCCTCTTTCGCCTCATAATTTCCATTTTTAAACCCATAAAACGACCGACGAGTCTTAGAAAGCCGAAGGGATTATATGATGATGTCAGCTCGATTATTTGGTTTTTCTCTATCTAGTTCTTAATTTTAATCAAAAGCGACTCTTCGTTTTTGTGGATTTCTGATAACCCAAGTGTTACTGTCCTTCCTCTAGAAGACTTGTTCTAATTGACATGTATCAGAAAATCAACATGAACATATCTTTGATTGAATTAGATATATTCAATCATAAAAACCCGATTATGGGAATAATGCACCCATGTTTTATTGGGTTTAATTTGTATCTAGAACTTAATTTGAAAGATGCTGTTCTCTAACGTGTCTTTTGTACGTTCTTTTCATTATCCATGTGCAATAGCATCGCAACATCCTTTTCATATTAGTGTACCTGAACAACTTGAACAAACGTTGACTTCCAAATTACAAAAATTGTTGTTTACTCACCTGCATGTTGCTTCACATCTGTTGGGGTATGTTTGTCCGTCCTGTCCGCATACAGGTCTCAGAATCTTTGGACATGCACATTTTGTTTTTTTATGACACGGACATTCTCCTTGACAAGCCACTCTCGTATTCCTTTGAAAAGAAAATTAAAATGATATTACAAGGAAATTCGGAGAATTACATTAGATAGTAAATGGTTAGTTGAACTTTTATTGACCCTATAAAGTCATTATGATTTAGCAAAATTCCCCTGTAATCGGTAATTTAGCTCTTAAAATATACCTTATTTAAAGATATTTGATTTACGCTAAGTTGTTTTCATCATCATCATTTATGTATGTGATTATTGGAATTATGACAACACGAAGGTGCTTATTCTTCCAATGAGTGCACCCCTGTCCATAGCTATGATATTCGCATGCACTACAATGTAACATGGAATATTGTTAGTTTGTTGTTTTATAATCAATGTACTTTTCAATGACATAAGTGCCTTTCATTCATAATATACCCCAATCATGAACGTATGGCGACCAAAGCAAACAAATGTTTAAGAACACCAATGATTCATCAAAATCATAATTAAAACACAAAATGAACTAAAACGAGGCGGAAGTATGACCATAACAGCACAACGTACAAGTAATTTACTAGGATGATGTATAACAACTAAATCGTTAGGCATGCTCCAGAACATCTAAATAATCAAACTCAATATCGATAAAGGACATAAAATGTTTCTGATGCTGTTCTGACGGTGACTACAAAACTTACTCAGTCATTTATCCAAACCCTTTGTGGTAAACATAACAGTTATTAGTTTTCATGAATCGCACAGATCATGATATCGGGGACAGGCTCTAAATTCTCATAGTTTGCGAAGCAGGTATCATACTTAGGTATGTGATATTTGCATCAGGGAGATAGGCACATTATTTTGTTAATTTTATTTACTCTGTGTAACTACACATGTTAGGTTCAATAACCTATAGACATCCTTTATTGTTAGAGAAGAACAATTATGTAAAATGTATCAGAAAATCAACATGAACATATCTTTGATTGAATTAGATATATTCAATCATAAAAACCCGATTATGGGACTAGTGAACCTTAGAGTTTTTGTTACTATATGAGACGTTAAATATCTTTTCTTCTATTTTGTATCTTGTTCAATACACAAACTTCCAGTAAAAGCAAATATTGTTCTTATTCCAGTAGAGTTATAATTTCAATAATTACGCTAAAACAAAGAATGGACGTACTTAAAATGCATTTGCTCGTGATCATTGCTAATGAATTATACATTTCACCCGTGTTCTTTCGGTATTTTATGTTCTCTTTACATTGACTCTTTTTCCCTTCGGACACTTATCTAATTAAGGTGCACACCATAAGCGACATTTATAACGGAAGACCTCGAGTCATTACTTTAGGGGTCAGGAGCAGACAAGTTCTTCTGTTCAAAGATAATAATAAATGCTGAAATCCAGCTTTTGGAAAGTCATCGTTCTATATACTAGATGGTGTGTCTACTCGAAGGTGCTTACGCGCATTTCGCTTCACACTGGTTTCCGTAGGTTTTGCCGTCTAACCCACAGACTGGCTTGTATTCCTTGGTACAATAGCACCGCCGGTCGATCTCACAGGGACATCGACCTTTACAAGCAATGTCGATTTTCCTGTAAAACAGAATTATTGCATTATTGATTTTCGTTCCACCTGAAGAAAGATCAATTACTCGAAAATGTACAACTATTTTTTTTTTTTGAGTATTATCTACAAAACCGTTCAGATTATTTCAACAATTACGCTAAAACAAAGAATGGACGTACTTAAAACGCATTTGCTCATGATCATTGCTAATGAATTATTCATTTCACCCGTGTTCTTTCGGTATTCTATGTTCTCTTTACATTGACTCTTTTTCCCTTCGGACACTTTTCTAATTAAGGTGCACACCATAAGCGACATTTATAACGGAAGACCTCGAGTCATTACTTTAGGGGTCAGGAGCAGACAAGTTCTTCCATTCAAAGACAATAATAAATGCTGAAATCCAGCTTTTGGAAAGTCATCGTTCTATATACTAGATGGTGTGTCTACTCGAAGGTGCTTACGCGCATTTCGCTTCACACTGGTTTCCGTAGGTTTTGCCGTCTAACCCACAGACTGGCTTGTATTCCCTGGTACAATAGCACCGCCGGTCGATCTCACAGGGACATTGACCTTTACAAGCAATGTCGATTTTCCTGTAAAACAGAATTATTGCATTATTGATTTTCGTTCCACCCGAAGAAAGATCAATCACTCGAAAATGTACAACTATTTTTTTTTTTTTTGAGTATTATCTACAAAACCGTTCAGATTATTTCAACAATTACGCTAAAACAAATAATGGACGTACTTAAAACGCATTTGCTCGTGATCATTGCTAATGAATTATACATTTCACCCGTGTTCTTTCGGTATTCTATGTTCTCTTTACATTGACTCTTTTTCCCTTCGGACACTTATCTAATTAAGGTGCACACCATAAGCGACATTTATAACGGAAGACCTCGAGTCATTACTTTAGGGGTCAGGAGCAGACAAGTTCTTCCGTTCAAAGATAATAATAAATGCTGAAATCCAGCTTTTGGAAAGTCATCGTTCTATATACTAGATGGTGTGTCTACTCGAAGGTGCTTACGCGCATTTCGCTTCACACTGGTTTCCGTAGGTTTTGCCGTCTAACCCACAGACTGGCTTGTATTCCCTGGTACAATAGCACCGCCGGTCGATCTCACAGGGACATTGACCTTTACAAGCAATGTCGATTTTCCTGTAAAACAGAATTATTGCATTATTGATTTTCGTTCCACCCGAAGAAAGATCAATCACTCGAAAATGTACAACTATTTTTTTTTTTTTTGAGTATTATCTACAAAACCGTTCAGATTATTTCAACAATTACGCTAAAACAAAGAATGGACGTACTTAAAACGCATTTGCTCGTGATCATTGCTAATGAATTATACATTTCACCCGTGTTCTTTCGGTATTCTATGTTCTCTTTACATTGACTCTTTTTCCCTTCGGACACTTTTCTAATTAAGGTGCACACCATAAGCGACATTTATAACGGAAGACCTCGAGTCATTACTTTAGGGGTCAGGAGCAGACAAGTTCTTCCATTCAAAGATAATAATAAATGCTGAAATCCAGCTTTTGGAAAGTCATCGTTCTATATACTAGATGGTGTGTCTACTCGAAGGTGCTTACGCGCATTTCGCTTCACACTGGTTTCCGTAGGTTTTGCCGTCTAACCCACAGACTGGCTTGTATTCCCTGGTACAATAGCACCGCCGGTCGATCTCACAGGGACATTGACCTTTACAAGCAATGTCGATTTTCCTGTAAAACAGAATTATTGCGTTATTGATTTTCGTTCCGCCCGAAGAAAGATCAATCACTCGAAAATGTACAACTATTTTTTTGAGTATTATCTACAAAACCGTTCAGATTGTTTCTGTAGTCTGTTTCCTAATGTACCACAAAAGGCATGAAAAAATAAAAAGGTAAGAGTAGATTTGTGTTAAAACCATTCTAAGATACTGTTTGTCAATAGAATATAATAAGAAAATAACATATTTATTATACATCCAGAACTTAATTGGCATTTCAATGATAAAGGATGTAACCATGACTATATTTTCATCTCAAGCATATGTTGTGCATATCAGTGAAACATCTGCCTAGGTGGCATTACTAAACTATCTTCAAAATAGGAATAATTCTTCAACGTGCAAATTCTTTTGGTGCTACGTACGTTGATAACAGTTCTCTGCGGTTGATATATGAAAACATTTAAATATTTCTAAGCATAGCTTGATTTCTATGTTAATATAAAATAGCGTATGCATGTTAAAATTATTGATCGTTAAAAAGTATTTTAGATTAAAAGAAAGCACATATTCAGAAAGAAATTAAGCGATCAAAAATGCGTTCATGTTTCTGTGGTCCATGCACTCCCTAGAATCGGGATATATGTTACACTTTTCGAGATCAACAACGTGCGTACCTGCGATTAGCAACACATGTGCTGCTATATGTGCGACCGTCTACACCACACACTCGTCCACTTTGTGTGCTACAACGCCGTCTCCTGTCTGTAATAAAATAATATTCCATTATACACGGAAAAATCATAGTAATGTAAACCATGTCCGGTGAGATTTTACGTCTTATTGCATCTTTGAAGTGAAGCGAATAGATCTGTTGGTTATACTTAATGTTTTGCGTGTATTTCTAGTTCTAGTGCCTGTAGCAATGTTACAATTACACCAGGATTATATTCTGGTAAAACAGAAATACAATAACACAGGGCACAACTGTGACAGTTTGTTTATCGTTGTGTACAGTCCTATATATGGTTTAGTAAATTAATCATTTCGCAGTCACTAACAGTGGTGTTATTGTCGTGCTGGTTTCCAAGGGCTTCCTGTTTGATAATTCAGCATTTATATCGACTACTCGCGTTGTACAACATCCTCGTGTATGACAGCCTTACATCAAAGACGTGTCTTAAAATGACGAAACAATCCACCAAGGACTTCATCCTTGTGTAATATTACTTACCTTTAGCTTCTCCCTGGTGTAATATTACCTACCTCTAGCTTCATCCTCGTGTAATATACCTACTTCTAGCTTCATCCTTGTGTAATATTGCTTACCTCTAGCTCCATCCTAGTGTAATATTACTTACCTCTAGCTTCATCCTCGTGTAATATACCTACTTCTAGCTTCATCCTCGTGTAATATTACCTACCTCTAGCTTCATCCTCGTGTAATATACCTACTTCTAACTTCATCCTTGTGTAATATTACCTACCTCTAGCTTCATCCTCGTGTAATATACCTACTTCTAGCTTCATCCTTGTGTAATATTGCTTACCTCTAGCTTCATCCTAGTGTAATATTACTTACCTTTGACTTCATCCTCGTGTAATATTACTTACCTCTAGCCTCAACCTTGTGTAATATCACTTACCTTTGACTTCATCCTCGTGTAATATTACTTACCTCTAGCCTCAACCTTGTGTAATATCACTTACCTTTGACTTCATCCTCGTGTAATATTACTCATCTCTAGCCCCAACCTTGTGTAATATCACCTACCTTTGACTTCATCCTCGTGTAATATTACTTACCTCTAGCTTCATCCTTATGTAATATTACTTACCTCTGGCTTCATCCTCGTGTAATATCACTTTCTCACTATAATACTTACGAATTGCTTCACCTTCGGTTACAAGATAGCATGCGACTATCAAAAGAAATCCTTGTAAGTAAAGAAAGTTCCTCATTCTGATTCGTTATCTTCGGGAATCCTGATGCACCTGAGCTGTAAGATAGTGAGACGGTTTTATAAACTCCTCCTTCCCGGATGTCACGTAGATAGTGACAGCTACATATCTCACTTGGCGTCACATGACAGAACACATTGATCATATTCATGTGGCTAAATGGAGGACATAATGCTATGTATAAAGTGTAGGAATATTGTTGATGTTTGAAAACATTTTCTCTGGAGAATATGTGATAAATAAAATGATATTTTATATTTGGACAATATTTTGAGACTCGCATCATTAATCACTGTGTCAGTTACGTGTAACAATATAAAAATATACCTAAAACAGGTGCAAATTATAGTAAAACAATTGCTTTCCTGATATTAAGACAAACTTAGCATAAACGAATTATTTTCGCAATCTACAATTATCTGCTCAATAATTAATGTATTTTATATTGTAACAAAAATTGTCTACTTACAGATATAGCTTTGTTATCAAGTAGGAGGTGATTCAGTTACTCGTAATAAATCAGTTTCACGGAACAATCTACTTTTATCTACATATTCTGTATTGATCATGGCATATTATCGCGTAGAGCCATCTGTGGCGTCAAATCAATTGAATTATCAAAATGATTCTCTTAATATAACGTAGTATTTACAACTTCATACAGAGTTGAAATATCGTAGTACTTACAATTTCATACAAAGTTTAAATCATTATATACAGTCATTGCTAGACATGACGTATGATAATGTTTTTTTTTAACTAAAATTCGTATCGGTGAAAACGTGACTATCTCTTCCATCCCAAATTATCTGGATATGTTAAAATTGCTTATACTGACATGTTCACTAAGCAACACCTCTGTGTTGTTTGCGTAATATATGCACGAATCGAGACTGAACTCACATGCACCTACGTTATGTGGCGTGACGTTACGCTGTTCTTATTGGCTATCTAGAATACGTGCTACTGGTTGGTTCATAGTAATGTGATGTCAGCTTAATTGTTACACGAAGTATAATAATCATCGTTCTTGAAAACTGCGTTATGAAGTATAAATTTGATTTACTTTACAATAATTGTGAAACAAGCTATCAGATTATATCAATCATTCCTGTTGGCCCAGGTGAAAGCGTCGAGGGATCTTAGAAGGAACCGGATAACCCCGAGAAACCCAACCATGGTCTGACAGGCAGGTTGACCCAATACTTCCCATTAACCCCGACGTCGAGGTGAAAGGCGAGTGTGATACTACTGCCACACACGACCACAAATTATTGTAATGCGTTCTGCTATTTAGAAACAAAAGTAACATTATAACGAAATAATACATTAATTCATTCATTTCGATTTATTTCAATTTCCATTTCTACAGATCCGATGTCCACTTACAGAATGGAAAACAAATATAACACAAGTATAAATGTCACAGTCACATGAAACATAGAACTATTAAATGTACAAAATATGGAACTATTGGTAAAAGGCATCCATGAGTCGTGCTTTAATATGATGAGAGACGAATAAAACATATCACAGTCTGAAACAAGATCAAGAAATTGTCGCTTTCTATTTCATTGAAATATAAATTTTATAGAAAGCATTCTGCTATTGTTATTCATATGAAACCATGCACCTGACTCATTTTAGCGCTTAAGACATTTCTCATACATTAACTGTGCATATCAATGCAACGTTTACTGCCTTCTGGACGTAATAAACAAGCGTATTAATTTATTTCTTCTAAAACTTTTCATATTTTTTCGATAGTTATGAAATTTGCAGAATGTCTTGCCTGTATTTAAATGATATTTAAGACTGTGGTATATTGAACAGGAGTACGGAAATGTTACGGCTACCTTGTGTGTGGTGTCAATGGAAAGACGTACAGAAGCGAATGCTTGGCCTGGAGAAGGTAATACAGACTAAACGGGGCATCTTTTTAAAGCATATTGTGTTAATTACATGTGCATGAATTTGTAGAAGTCATGATGTATCGAGGACAAAACTTTTCTTTTTTTCTGTTCATGTGGTAATAGGTACTTAGATATAAAGGGAATAATAAATAACAAGATATTGTCCAAATTTATATGTCAGATGCAATATTATACCTAAACGTAGGTGATATATGTCATAGAAAATACATATTTCTGTTACTGTTATTCCATTAATTATACTACCGGAACACTTATATCATTTACACTATTAAAACATACGCTTTAACACCAAGGAAGTAGGGTAAGTATCTGCTGTCTGCAAAGTAGTAGCATTATTTCTAAATCTTGTTCCGTGTGGATACGTTTTTTATTGGAGTCGAAGTTGAAATGATTTCTGCTGGACAATGTCGTCGCGTCCGATAATGCAGGATTTTGAAATATGCACTATTAAGATTATCTAGGATATTTTACGCTTGTTATAATGATCTCCTTGGGAAGTATTCTGATCTCTCTGTTTAATTTGGGATTTGCCATCAATTATATGGATTGGCCATATTTAACATCTTGGGTGCCGTCAATAAAGCAGAAGCCGACTATACTTCCGGAACACTTGATCATTGCACGTTTTCACTAGTTTCCGTGTAAATTTTTCTTTTGTTCTTGATTTGCAATACTTTCATTTCAATTGAGTTTGAAATAAGATTCTAGTGACATTATAATATTTTCTCGGTTGTTTTAGACCTTCCAATTATTGGCTTACATATGCTTTTTATACTAGGCTAAATTTATGAAACGCGACTCTAATACTCCTTCATTTTCACTCTAAGTATCTTGACATCTTTATTTTACTTTCAAGATTAAAATACTGAAAATGTCCTCCGTTTTTACAATCAGAACACGACTCTTCTACCACCTCACTTGCCATCATCTTTTCTTAGAACGACATCAACAGGGTCAGCTACCAGCAACAGAGCTGTATAAGCATAAAGACTGCGATTGTTCCTAGGAAGAATGTTTCATTTCCAGATGACTTTTAGGAGATGTACAATGATCAGGGATGACAGGGATTACTTTATGGTTGCTACCATGATCTCTTTGAGACGTTTTTCATTTCTTTCCTTGTGTGATATGAATGAAGATACATGTACGTCCGGTACTGTCTAGTTTGTACATGGTTATTTCTGTACTGTAACCAAGCATCACTTGAGTACTTAACATTACTTACTTGCATTGACCAATATGTACATGGTGCTTATAATCAATGAAAATACTTTATCACTGGACACCATGTAAAGCTTTCTTTTCTTTCTAGTTTGTGCTGGTGAGTGTCATCGATTTTTTCATTAAATCTCTGTTCACTTGTCAGTATTTTCTTGCTGTTTTGTTATGTCATTGTATACTTAACTACGTGTATGATGCCTTCCAGCGGTATCTCAGTAGCATGCAGGGGACGATGTCCTTGTAAATCGAACTGTATTTGTACAAGGGAATACGACCCTGTATGTGGTACAAATGGCCAGACATACAGCAACAAGTGTGTGGCAAATTGCGCGTAAGTAAAATGACGGATTGTTTTCCATTCTTTTTCCTTGATTGGTTGAAATAAGCCTGTGTTAAAATCTAAATTGAACAACCGTTTTAACAAACATCTGAAAGTCAAGACTATAACTGCTCAGTTAATTGTAAATAATTAAACAGTGTGAAAGAGACAGCTTCATCGTTTTTGAGAGTTTTAAATGTTGATAGATTATTATCATTCTTCTCACAACCTTAACGGCCCCTCAACACATAATAGGTCATAAGGGTCACCAACTGGTGAAACACACAACGATCCAGACAGGAAATAACATCAAACAAGCTAAAAGGTAAAAGACAAATGCTAAAAATCGTAATGGTTATACTATCACAAAAGACTAAAAAGGTAAGTCATATAAGTTTATAATACAGACCAACATCTTTCAGTTAACCTAGAATTTGATTAATCTCAAAAGTTTCAAAAAGGGTCCTTAGACATGTAATCTTACGATAAAAAATTCTCGAGTTGATAAGTCAAAGCATTCCAAAAGAGAAAATGTTTAACGGTTCATCACATCCTATGCACCGATGGTTATCTTCGCCTTTCAACAGGTATGAATTCATAAAGGTATGTACGGCCCATCCGAAGACGGGCAAGGTCAACTTCTTCTCGGTGGTTGTCTCTATAGTATGGAGACCATTCACCGATGATAAGTTTTACGGAGTGCAATTTATAATAAGTATATTGATTGCATTCCTCTTGCCCTTGAGCTGTTACAAAATGGTTGATAAATGGTTTTAAATCGGTAAAATGAAGTTTAAAAACAACAGGTGGTAGCGATAAAGCATCAGTTGGGCCACGACCTGCTAGATTTATCCATATGTTGCTACACTCATTTTTCCGCTTAGAATATCAGACCATGTGTAAGTCTTTTTAAAAGACTTTATGCTTTTCGTGATAAAAGTGAGGATATCACTGTGATTTAGTTCTTA